GAACGTTTTTGTTTAATTGCATATGTGTTTATGGGCGTCGAAATAAAAGGTTTTTAAGTGCTCCGGACTCCCCCGCCATGCTGAAAATGGTAATTACCATGTTGTTAAGGAATCGGGCGGTTGCAGTTTTGGGTCTTAGCATTCAAAAGGGGTCAAACAGAGGGGTGTCTGGTTCCGATAAAAATTTTGGGTGACGGCGCAGCAATGACGGCGCGGGATGACGGCGGGGGTGACGGTGCAGGCTGTCAGACACGTTAATCAACAGTCCATACCGAACCAACCGTCAGTAGCCATCAAACACATACAAACATATTACGCACATAACTTTCATACTACACACAAACAAATAACCTAAACCAATAGAACACAAAAAAACCCGGAGGTTTGAAATCTACGATTTCCCTTGTTTTATAATTTTTTTAATTTTCTTTTTTTTTAATTATTTCTTTTTTTGCGGTGCACGTGGCGGGGTTTGCACATAGCGAGATCGATCCCCGGAGAGGAGCTTTTTTTAATTTTCTTTTAGCAGTCGCTGTTTTGCTTTTAACACTCAAAAACTAATTGTTCAAGTCCCGACGTATGAGTTTTTCAAATTTTCTTTTTAACATCCGCTGTTTTGCTTTTTTTATCAGATGTGTTTTCTTCTTTAAGTGGTCTCGTACCAATTTCATCAACTTGGGTAATATCATTTCAACAACTTCTACCTCAATAACGGCAGTAAAACCTTTGTCAGCTGAAATGTCAGCTTTTTTTAATTTTAAGCACTTGTTTTGTAAGTTTCTTTCTTACGTTCGGTATTCTAACGTAAGTAAATACGTTTGTAGGAAATATCTCAATTGTCGACTACTGTGAAACGCAACACGCACCAACTGGACACCATTGTCAACGCTTTGAAATGCGATCAAGGTGACATGTGCAAACTGTCTGACACTGTTGACGTCTTGAAGAGCTACCAAGACGACATGCGTCAACTGTCCACCGCTGTTGACGCCTTGAAACGTGACCTGGACAACGAGCGAAACCGATCCGCCACCTTGGAGCAGCGTCTTAAAGACGACATGTCCACCGCTGTTGACGCCTTGAAACTTGACCTGGACAACGAGCGAAACCGATCCGCCACCTTGGAGCAGCGTCTTCTCAAGATTGATAAGAGTTCACGTAAATATGAATTAATTTTAAGCTGTTATGATGATGTTTTCCTCTTAAAGTTTTTCTATTTGAAAACGTCAGGAAATTTTGTGACCATTTCATTGTGTGTCTGTGGGGATGGGTTTGGTGTCACCTTTAACCCTCAAACACCCGAACTTTTTTTGTGACGTTAATGCCCGAACGAAATGGACCCCATTTGGTTTCTTTCGAATTTATATTCCTTTTTGCATTCTTTCAGTGATCTTTGTACATATATTGGTTAAACATAGTAAGAGGTATATTTTGGCATGATTGGCATGAAAATTCCAGCTCATTTTCATAATTTATGCAAAAATAGGATGAGACCTGCAGGCATGAAAATGGGGTTGATCTTTGACCTCATATGATTGTCAAATTGTCAAACCTCTGAAAACCTGATGACCTAATTCCTGAGGTTGAGGTAACTTGGCAAACTGCATAATATTAAAGCAATAATGCTTCCTTTAAGACATATTGAGGACATCCGAACAATTTTGTGTGTAGGAAAGTGCAAATATATGGCTGGGGTCCGTTTGGACCCCAGACGGTCTTACATAAGACTTCCGTTGTTATTTTTACAAATATGTGTCGAAGGCCTTGTAGCAGGTTCCACGCCACAGATTGTAACCTCACTCTCAAAAAAAAATTTAGACGAACTTGTAGAAGATGTCTATCGACAAAGTCACGGGAGGAATTTTTTTTTTCGAATGAAAAAATTTCAAATAGCACATAAAATATACGCCTGGGGTCCGAATGGACCCCGTTCGGGTGTTTGAGGGATAATACTGTGTCATATTAAATATTTTGAAAACAGCGCCAAGGGTAGATTTATAACACGTATGTCATGATTTTTAATATCAGCCATCATGGCCTGTTGCTAATACAAATCTTGTTTTCTCGCAGTTTGTCCTGAAAGTTACACAATGTGGCGTGGGACCTGCTACAAGGCCTTCGACACAACCAAGTCCTTCAGCGATGCGGCCGCTGCCTGTCGTGCAGACGCGTTCGGCGGCACCCTCGCCATGCCCCGAGACGCTTACACCAACGCCTTCCTCATCTCCCTGTACAAGTCCGTCGACGATTGTCCCTTCTGGTTCGGCCTGCACGATCAGCGCGAAGAGGGAAGGTTTGAGTGGGTGGACGGTACTGCACTTGGGCCGTACAACTCCTGGGGGCAGGGACGACCGGACAACGAGTGGGGCAACCAAGATTGCGTCGTTTATTCTGGACTTGAAAACGAGAAAGACAAGTGGAACGACGAAGAATGCCACGATACGTTTCGCTTCATATGCCAGGCTGCTCCAGGTACTTATTGTATCCTAACTATTTTCTGAAACCCTTCCATCTAGTAAACACGGCACAGCTTCTGTATCTGCATCTGTATAGCAGGTATAACCGCCTTTCGGCGTAACACACAAGCTTCGCAGGCACGCGGCGCGGCGGCAGCTGGCTACATTACACCTATTGATCAGTTACACCTAACCCTTGAACACCTTACTCTAGACATTGTTTAAATCTATCTAATGACAATGCCCCTACTTTACTTGGTGACAGGGAGTTCCACTCTGTGATAGTTTTAGGAAAGAATGAACTCTTGAACACCTCGATCCTTGGTTGATAACTCTGGTACTTTAAGGCATGGCTATTTCTTGTTCTCTTCTGGGTATATGTATAGGACATGCATGTGCCATGCACTGTGTCAAAGTATATATTCTTATATCGAATACAGCGCACGTATATCATGTTTTCAATATGGCCCATCCATGACCTGTTGCTGACATAAACCTTCTTTTCCAGTATTTTGTCCCAGTTGGTACATAATCTGGCGTGGAACCTGCTACAAGGCCTTCAACACAGTCAAAACCTTCAGCGATGCGGCCGCGGCCTGTCGTGCAGACGGCGGCACCCTCGCCATGCCCCGAGACGCTGACACCAACGCCTTCCTCATCTCCCTGTACAAGTCCGTCGAGGATTGTCCCTTCTGGTTCGGCCTGCACGATCAGCGCGAAGAGGGAAGGTTTGAGTGGGTGGACGGTTCTGCACTTGGGCCGTACAACTCCTGGGGGCAGGGACGACCGGACAACGATGGGGGGAACCAAGATTGCGTCGTTTACTCCGGACTCAAATTCGAGAAAGACAAGTGGAACGACGAAGAATGCCACAAGACGTTTCGCTTCATATGCCAGGCTGCTCCAGGTACTTATTGTATCCTAACTATTTCCTGAAACCCTTCCATCTAGTAAACATGGCACAGCTTAAGGACCGATCAGAATAAGCGGCAGCCATCATTGCTCCTGTTACAAACCAAGTCTTTATTAAATTCACACCTCATCCCTGATAATTTTTTTTGTTTTTCAGAACGTCCATAGGCGACGGGCGGGAGTTCCACCACTGCCAAAGAAGTAGACGCTGTGCCAAGAGAATATTCATATTTCATTGCTTTTATTACTTTTATCATTATTGTTACTTATTGCGATACAATGTAGAGAAATACAATGTCCTTCTGGTGGAAGAATAAAATCAAGTTCACTTGATGAAAATCAATTTTTAGACAAGACACAGAATGTCCTTTTAATGGCAGAATGATATCGAGTTCATCTACTGGAAAAAAAGGCAACATTCAGATGTAAGATTTCTTGAATATTTTAAAGTAACAAGTTTAGAAATGGTGATTTTGTGGTAGAAGTAGACGCTGTGCCAATACAATATATTTATATTTTTCATTACTTTTTTTATTATTGTTATTTATAACGACACATTGTACAGATACAAAATGTCCCTCTGATGATGGAAGATTACTTGTTAAAGAACGGGCAACACGAGTTTTTAAATGTTTGGAAGACAAAAAGTCTTACGAAAAGTTGGATCCGTCACAGAGGTGGACGACGTACCAATATAACATGCACAGTTTTATTACTTATTATTACTTATTGAGACAAGGTGTGCATTGTTCTTCTGATGACTGAATCATATCACGTTTACTTGGTAAAAATATTGGCAACACTCGCATTGAGTGAACTTTGGGACGAAAACACCTGGAACAAGTCAGAAATGATGGTTCTGTCATGGAAGGAAAGGCTTACGGTGCCAATATAACGTGTTATTAGTAAGAAGCATTTAATCGCCAGTATGTAAAAGAATTTCTAGTAAAAGAATTTCAATTGTACATCAACGACATCAGTAGATTTGTAATTGTCGTGTGATATGGATGTTTGACGGAGCAATTAAAGAACCTGTGACATTTAAACATGACTGTAACAATGTAACAGTTTAACACCACTGTAACAACCAGGATTGTAACAATATAACACTTTAATACCATTGTAACAATCAAGATTGCAACAATGTAAAAGTGTAATACCACTTTAACAATCAAAACTGTAACAATGTAACAGTTTAATACCACGGTAACAATCAAAACTGTAACCATGTAACACTTTAATACCACTGTAACAATCAAGATTGCAACAATTTAAAAGTGTAATACCACTTTAACAATCAAGACTGTAACAATGAAAGAGGACATTTCGTCAACACTGTTGAATCTGCTGCCTGTAATTGACACTGTTAAGAATGCTTAAGATTTTGCACTTTTTGGTGGTTTCTACAATAAAAAAGAACTGTTGTGGTTCAATGCGCATCTGAAATTTTTTACAGGATGTTTGGTGTGCTAGTTCTTTTTCTTATAACAATAACAAGGGTAAACACATTCAACGTAAATACACTAAAATAAGGATAAATAGCATCAGATATACCGATTAAAAATAAGATTTTGTAGACAACTAAAAAAGTGTGGGAGGGGCATCTCTGCTACATGTATATATGGCCACGTTGGTTTACGTGCGCACATGTCTGTAAAATCACGAGATTGACAGGCAGGATTAATTCTTCTTCCACGAAAATGAGTCTGCTTCTTCTAGAAAAACAAAGTGCAATACGAAAGACGTCATACCACGTCACCACTCCAAATACGGGCAAAAGTGTCCTTACTTCTTCAGACTAATCGTGGCATCCTTGTGAATATGCATGCGCCTTGACGTTGTTTGTTGTGCTGCGTACCTGCTGTCTGCACAGTCGAAATGTACGAGCAGGCAGAGCCTGTCCGGTCGCCTTTCTCCGGCCCCGACAGCCGCCAAATAAGCGGGCCGCCACCCCAACCCCGTCCCGTCCGTCAGAGTGGTTCACGCGGGCATGCCCGCCACGGCAACGGCGCTTCTGACAAGCACTGGGAAGACCAGGACACGTCTTCACACTCGTACGAAGATGTCGATGGGCAGAAACGTTACGCAGCGTCTGCAGGTAACCGACGCTTTTCTGACCTGTCTTTTACAGTGGATATTTGTACAAGCAGAAAAACTAATCCATCCCTTACTGTACGTTCCTTATGTGAAATTCATCAGCAGGATACGCGAACGTTCTTGCAACTGTGCACATTTGGTGCTGTTGTGTGTATGTGTGTGCGTGCATGCATGTGCGTGCGTGTACGTGTATGTATGCATGTGTGTGCGTGTGTGTGTATGTATGTGCGTGTGTGTTGATGTGGCATTAAACTCGAATATTCATTCATTAACATGTTCATTCGGAACGTCGATGTAAAAAAATAGCCCGAGGGAAATACTAGTATGTTTTTCCTACCAGACGGCGCGTATTCGGGTGGAGCGAGCGGCCGCCGTGGTGTCTGTAGTGACTCGCCCCTCTGACGTTCAGCAACAAACAGGTAACAAACAGTCTTGTACCAGAAGCCTTTTGTTCGAGATTTTTCTCTGAATCTCATTCTTTTCGGTTAGAAGTCTATAAAAGAAAGAAATTGCTGCTGTTTTTCGTAAGTTAATTCCTTACGTTAGGTATTCATCGTCGGTCGGGGGTTCCCGGTCCCAGACCCTCTCCCTCCAGTCCGCTTATCTATCATGGTGCCCGTTAGGTATTCTTACGTACGTAAATACGTTTGTAGGAAATATCTCAACTGTCGACAATTGTGAAACGTGACCAAGACAACATGCGTCAACTGTTCACCACTGTTGACGCCCTGAAAAGCGACCAAGACACCTTGAAGCGCGACCAAGACGGCATGTCCACCGCTGTTGACGCCTTGAAGCGCGACCAAGACGACATGTCCACCGCTGTTGACGCCTTGAAGCGCGACCAAGATGACATGTCCACCGCTGTTGACGCCTTGAAGCGCGACCAAGACGACATGTCCACCGCTGTTGACGCCTTGAAGCGCGACCAAGACGGCATGTCCACCGCTGTTGACGCCTTGGAGTGCGACCAAGACGGCATGTCCACCGCTGTTGACGCCTTGAAGCGCGACCAAGATGGACATGTCCACCGCTGTTGACGCCTTGAAGCGCGACCAAGACCGAGTCTTGTAACCAAGGCGCCTGTCCGATAGGTATGTGGTTCTGAAGTTTACACAAGTTTTTATTCCAGTGCTTTGCTAAAGACTGCTGCAGCCAAATGAGTTTGTTGGACTGGTTGTTGCCTGCAAGTAGATTTCTTTCAGTCCAATAAACTGGTGGACGTCCCAATACTAAGT